TCGGGCCGCGGGGGGCAGGGCCGAATCTGGCCCGCGGGCGAGGCCTCATCGAGAGCAAAAGACACCCCCCTTCGGCCCTAAGCACACGATCAAGGCGCGGCCTCACCTGGGTCCCCTTCTTCGCATGTAGGGATCATGCACGTGGGCTGTCGGTTCGATGCGTCTGCAGAAAAGACCCCCCTTGCCGGGTGTGCCTGGGCCCCCTGACTTAGGCCCCCTCCCGGAGGGGTAGGGGTGCTTCCCCAGGCCTCTGGCTGTTCAATGTCTGTTCGACGCGTGGGCCCCGGAGGTGTGGACCACTCCCGCAGGGCCGCTCCTCGCCCCGAACAATTTCCTCCTCCTCCTCCTCCTCCTGCTCCCTCCTCCTCCTCCTCCTCCTCTCTCCTCCTCCTCCTCCTCCTCCCCCTTCTCCTCCTCCCCCTTCTCCTCCTCCTCCTCCTCCTCCTCCTCCTCGCCCCAAAAGCCACCCGCGCTCCAATTGTTTTTTTCTTCCGGAGCGCCGGACCTCTGGGCACATCAAGGCCGAGGCCCGCCCCCCGAGGCTGCCGCGGTGCCATTGGAGGCGCCACCCCTGCGGGCCCCGGGGCTCTCCGGGTGGACTCGATGGGAAAAAACACGCGTGGGAAACTGTGGGAAAAGACACACGTGGGAAACTGTGGGGAAAACACACACACACACACGCACGTCTGTGGGGATAAAACACTCTGGAAAAAAAAACACAAAAAGAACACACACACACACACACACACTGTGTGTGTGTTTTTGTGTTGGTTTTTCCCGCTGGAGGCGCCATCCCTGCGGGCCCCGGGGGCTCTCCGGGTGGACTCGGGCGGGGGGCGCGCCGCGCTCCGGGGGGGGGCTAGCCCCCTTGTGCGCCCCCCGAGGCTGCCCCCGCGCCCTCGGGGGCCGCACGCGCAGCCTCTGCCGGCGGGCCCCAACGACAGGGCAGTTTTTGATACATTGGAATTTTAAACACGTAGGATTTCTAATACACGATGAAAAAATATAAGACTGTAATCTAGGATCTTTAGAAATAGGATTTCTAAGATACACGTTTTTTTTAGGTACACGGTTTTTCTTAAACAAATGCACGATTTTGTTTGTACATAGGGTTTTTTAATTGACGATGTTTTTAATATAGGATTTTTAAGCACGGTTAATGTATGAATATGCATCGACTCATCGCTGTTTTGAATACTACATCCCTTCATGTTTTGATGCATGATCTGCACGCGGAGCATGTATTAAAAACGGCACTGTACAGGATCGGCTTCTTTCGGCTTCGGATCCGCTTTGCTCCCCCTTTTCATCGCCCCGCACATCGAGCGGCTCGAGTAAATCGATACGGACGTTTTTCGTCGCTTTCGGCCTCTCGGGGCCGTCGCCGGGCCTCGGGGCCGTCAAAAAGCAATTCGGGATGGAAAACCGGTCCTAGGGAAATGGTCGGGAGGTCGGGGGGCCGTCATCGAGACGTCTGATGTCTGGGGTTTCGGCCCCCTTTAGCTTCGGATCCACTGTGTTTCCCCTTCTTGTCGAATGGCTTTCGGCCCATCCCGCCACCGTGCCTGCTGTGTTGCGGGGGTGAAGTCTATTGGATGTTCGTTGGAATCTCGTGGAAGGCTTCTCGGGGGCCTCTTGGAGGCAGTTTGGACGCCTCTTGGGTGCCCTTTGGGGGCCTCTTGGTGCCCCTTTTGGGCCTCTTGGGGGTGCAGTCAACCCGCGTAGCAATGATGAGCAATTTTCCAAGGTTGCCCTTGCATCCTTCCCCTTCGGCCCATCCTTGGCCGCTTTCGCTGGCCGCGCCCCGCTCGCAAAAAGTGTCGACCTGACCTTCCGAGGCCCCTTTGCATCCCGAGGCCCCTTTGCATCGTGCGTCCTTATTATATGGGTTTTCTGCGCTGCCCCTTCTTATGACATGTGTGTTTCGCCATGGTGCTCTCGGGTCCCAAGGCATCTGACCCCGCTGGGTGGCGCCCCCAGAAGGAGCCCGGCATGGAGGCGGAGGGGCCTCCCCTGATTTCGGATGCGCCGTGCTTTGGCAGATTCTCCACTCAGCATAGTCCCGGACATGGTCCCCAATCGATGCGAGAAAGCAGAGCGGAAATTTCCAACTCAGAAGAGGAGGGGGGATATCTCCGCAAAGGCATGGTGGAAGTTGCGACGGCAAAGTAGGGCAGAAATCTGCACCAACGGAGCTTGAAAAGCAGGGCGGATATGTCCGCCCTACTTACGGAATCGCCGAAAGCGCTGTGAATCCGGAGTCAGCGCAGCTCGGAGTGAAGCGCAGTTTGTCTGCCCTGGAAGGGGCCCAATGGACGGCGGCTCGAACAGATCAGTCTTCCCGAAGGATTACCAGCCTGGAACATATCCCTATCCCTATGTTGGGCATCTCCTCATCACGATGCCAATCTTAGGGATTCCCTTTTTTTTTGAGGGCGCATCCCTAAGATTGTCATCGCTTCGTGGCATGTCGATCTTAGGGATAGGGATCTGTTCGAGGCTGGTAAAAGGAGTTAATGATTCGACGCGGAGATCCCCATGAGTGCATCTGCTTGCCCGATCCGTTCACGTTGCGATTGCCTGCGGGTCTGAGTGCGATCATCTGAGAGTACATGACTGAGTGTGTGTTTGGGAGGTCTGAATGGTCTGCTTGTGAGTGCACGCCGTCGTCGTCTCGCCGTCGTCGTCGTCGTCGTCGTCCTGTCGTCGTCCTCGTCGTCGTCCTCGTCCTCCTCCTCGTCCTGGCGGGTCTCGGCACCGAAGCAGGCAGGCCGCCTGACGCATCCCCACAGTCTGGGCCCCCTCGGGGTGCGGGAGCTGGCGCCCCGCTGGAGACAGCCTCGCCGGCTGCCCCGAGCGCAGGCCCGAGCCCGGGGCCCGAGGCAGGCAGGCCCGCCCGAGGCACTCCCGCGAGCGGGGCGCGGGCGGGCCCGTGAGGTGTGCCCCTTGGCGGCTCTCTCCCCCCCCGCATCTGTTAAGGCCCAGTCAAGCGACCCCCCCCCCCCCCTTAAGTTTCGTTCAGTGCGTCGCCCGATCGTCGCCCGTGCGCCGGCCCTGGTTTGCGTCTCTGTCCCGAATTCCGGCCTCCCAGAGTGCGTGGGCGACATATGGCGCGACTTTCGGCAGGATGCGGGCCGCATCCTCGCAGGCTGCTCCGAGCGCAGGCGAGTGCGGGGTGCGAAGCAGGCACGCCGCGTGAGGCATCCCCACACGCTGGGCGCGAGTGCCGGAGTGTCCCCGCCCCTGGCGGCACCCCCTGGGGGTGCCCGGGTGCCACGCCTGCCAGACCGCGGTGAGCAGTGGCCCACGTGAGCCCGAGTATGATGAGGTCTTCTTGCGAGCGAGTCTTGGCGAGTCTAAGTGTGAGTGAGTTTGAGTATGAGTGAATATGCGTGCGCGTGAGTCTGGGTAAGTATGCGAGATGATGAGTACGAGTGATTCTCAGCACCAGTGATTCTGAGTGTGAGCGAGTCTGAGCGTGAGCAAGACTGACCGAGGAAGGCGAGGAGGAGGAGGAGGAGGAGGGTGCGAGGTGCGAGGGAAGAGGTCCAGAGGCGTCTGGGTATCAACAAGGGCCTCATCCCAGGAATATAACAAGTTTTTCAGCACACGCACACACAGATACACATAGACATACACACATACACACATACGCACATACACACATACACACATACACACGCACGCACACACACACACAACAAAACAACTCCCGTGTTCCCAGCCTTGCAGGCGCCGCAGAAACCACGACGGCCGCCTTGGGGGGGGCAGCGACGGGCCGGGTCCAGGGCTGGGGAGGCGGGCCGCGGGGCCCACGTCGTGGAGGTACCCCTGCGTCGGATCTGCGAGGCCCTCCCCTGCGAGCGGCTGGCAGGGGGCCCTTCTCCTCCCCAGTAGGAGGCGCGCAGGAACAGGCAGTGCGGCTCCGCTGGTGGAGGCTCCGGGAGGACTGGCAGAGACCGGCGGCAGCAAGAACCGGCCTTCTGGGAAGAGGAGGGGAGGAGGAGGAGAAAGAGGAGAAGGAGGGGGAAGAGGAGGAGGAGAAAGAGGAGGACGAAGAGGACGAGGAGGGGGGAGGGGGAGGAGGGAGGAGGAGGAGGAGCAGCAGGAGCAGGAGGAGCAGAGGAGGGAGGAGGAGGAGGAGCAGGAGCAGGAGCAGGAGCAGGAGGAGGAGGAGGACGACGAGGAGGAGGAGGAAAGGGAGGAGGAGGAGCAGGAGGAGGAGCAGGAGGAGGAAAGGGAGGAGGAGGAGGAGGAGGAGGAGGAGGAGGAGGAGGAGGGGGAGGAGGGGGAGGGGGAGGGGGAGGGGGGCCAGCTTGCGCCCGCGGTGCGGCCTGTGGAGGCAAAAAGGGAGGAGGGGGAGAAGGAGGAGGAGAAGGAGCAGGAGGAGGAGGCACGCTCTTCTTTGGATTCGGGGCCTCGGAAGCGAGCTGGGCGTTCTCCTGCTCCTCCTCTCTCCCCTGGCCCCCTGCGCGGCCACAGGGTGGGAAGGTGCAGAGGCCAGAAACGGCCGCGCGCGAACGTTACCAGGACGTGGCATCGGGATTTGAACGCAGAGGGGATACCTTTCGCGAGCGGGCGTGCAGAGCTGGACGGCGGTGACGCCGCGAGGCCGAAGAATCCAATTTTTGTGCCTCATCATCCTGGTTCTTCTGTTCCTAGTAGGAGGAGGGCGAGGAGAACGACGACGCCGCCAATGACGCCGACGCCTGCGACGTCGACGACGACGACGACCAAGATCACGACGACCAAGTCTCGGGGCAACGACAAAGACGAAGGCGACGACGACGACGAAGACGGTCACGACGACGACGACGGTCAAGACGAAGGCGATAGCGAAGACGACCATGACGACGACGACGGCCGAGGCGGCCCTCCGCGTCGTCACCGGCTCGGGGTCGATCGCGACCTGCCCCCTGGCGAACCACATGGGCGGAAGCTCCCGCTGCTCGCTCCTGGACGTCCCCGCGCTGCCGTTCGGGTTCGACCCGCACGTGCGG